CAAAGCGTGAGCTGCGATATATACAAGCCTGTCTGGGGCTGACGCTGCAGAGAGCATGCCCCGGCCTCCCCGCACGCGAGCCTGCGAGTGCCGTGGACAACAGGCGAAACGGAGTGTTAGATTGAGTGAAAGTGCATTTCAACTTGCCTTTGTATGTCAAAACGTATCAAAGGTTATGCGAAAGGTTTGTTTTCATGGGCGCTTTATGCGGGGGAGCGACCAGCAAGCGACCTTCACGCTTCACGCTGTTTTCGTTTTCGTGAAATCCAGTCCAGGGGTGCGGAGCTGCAAAAACGCAATATGCTGAGATTGATAATGATATTGCAGCAGGCCGCACGCAGATCCCAAAAGCTGGAGCTGGCTGCAGGGTTGACCAGCGCGTTGACCACGCGATGGGAGATGATGTGCGCATCAAGCGGGTGCAAATGACTGTCGGGTGGGCCAAATGGCTTTTGGGTTGATCGAGTCAGGATGATGGGGATGGTGGCGAGCATCAGGGGCGCGACAAATGGGGTGCTGTAGGCAGCATCCACAAGGACGATGACAAGGACAACCAGCCAGGCGGGGGCAGTGTGGGCGACGCTTGTTGGCGGCCGAGCACATACAGGTCAATTGAATCTCGACCGCCAATGACCCTGGCCCACACGTCATGGGCAACTTCAATAGCACAACGGTATACCAGTATGCACATGGTGGTTAGTTAGAATGCCCCTCACATCTCACGGCTTAGATAAGGATAACTCTGATATTCTCACATCTTGCCAAATGCTTCCCATACTACCTACTTGCAGCATAAAGCATGCTTATGGCGCAACCCTTCGGCGAGGCGGCGCTGTGGCTTGCAGGTCGTGCAGCGGCGTGGAGAGTGGGCGGCGTGCGTCGGCTTCAACATCGATATGCTGCACAGCAGTTGCATCCAAATGCTTCAGTCCCGTGATTGTTATTTCTTATGTACGTGCAATGCAGCTTTGTTTTCTTCTTAAGCATTATGTTCATGATTTTGGTTGGCACATTTCACGACCTGCTGCTGCACACATGTCTGGCAGTTGTGCAAACTGCCAGGTAGTGAGCATGCAGGCACCGTGGTGTGCCAACAGCACGCAATGTGACCACGCAATACACCTACAACAATGCATATAGTATAGATGGATAATACTACATTTATAGCTGCAAACAGTCAAGAGTCTGGACCGTGTAATGCCACTTCCTTATCAACTCCAAACCGGCTCCATTTCACTCCTTAGCCACAAGGATATTAGCAGGGAGGCCTCCTCCTTACAGCCTCCTTGCAGACTCCTTAACCCGCAGATAAGGAGGATATTAAGGAGTGTCTAAGGAAAACCCTTGTTCTTGCAGTGGTTGTGAAGTTCCCTCAGTTTTGACAGCCGAGAGTCACACACACACACACACACACACGCGCACACACGCACACACACACACACACAC